GTCTGGTCCATAGCAGGCTACGTCGAAGGTGGACGTGCATGTAGCGTGCTTAGAGAACTGGATGTGGAATCATCAATAATTTCGCAGATTTCATCAAGAAATATCATTACCTCGTGCGCCCAGAACGAAGGATTATCGGCGCCCTGGTTGACCCAGTAGGCGTTCACTAGGTGGAATTCACTATTGGCTGAACACGATATCACAGTATTTTACGCACTGTACGTCAAGAGATCGTGGCGGTTGAAAGCCTCAATGAAGGTCTCAACGCTAGGACCCGTATATGCGGGCACTTTAGTTCCATCCGGGAGAGTACTGGGAGATGGGCTCGGATCGTACTGTCGGGACAGATCACAATATTGTTCATAAGATCTATGGCAATACATTCAGTGGCGACTCAGTGAAATATGGTGGAACAGCGTACCCATCACAGTTATCCGGCCACAAACCATGAATTGTCCAGCTGTTATTAGGCAAAAGCTGTCCCTGTGGCTCCAGGCCCTACACAAATATAACAGATTATTGTTGCTCAACGTAGTCCCTCATGACTCACCGTGTACGTGCTCCAAAACTGAGTCTGCAAGACCAGACCACCTGGAGTCGGTGAACAACAAGTGTTCGTAATGACGGTAGTGTTCTCGCACGAATAGGTCAAAGGTGCGTTAACACAAGCCGTCAGGTTAGGATATGTATCCGGAACAGGCGGCAAGGTCAGGATTGGAGACCAAGAGATGGCCGCCTCTACCAGAGAAGACGCCGTCAAGGCCGACAAGACTCCTGCAAACGTCTTTGCCATCTTGCGGGTTGAGGATGTAAGGCGCTGCGTCCGGTTGGACGTCCATGTCGTACACGAGGTATTTATGGGAAGAGCAGAAGAATAGGAACAGGAAAATGTGATGCTTTACGAACGTTGCTTATCTTGCCGAAAGGTGCATGTGCAGTGGGGGTAAATCCATGGCAATCGTGGGGGCTGTCCATTGTCGCTGTTCTCAGCGTCGTACACTTTGGACAAGTTCCAAGATTAATTCAGGCGTTCGCATCCGATGTGCACTAGGCTCGTAACCACCCTCTCGTAGAGCGATTTTGCCCCAATCGCTCTACGAGAGGGTGGTTACGAGCCTAGATGTGCACGGACTTTGCCCATTCATACTAGCGATCTCCAACCTGGTCGTCGAACAGTCAATTAGGCGGTCGCATCTGTCCCTGGCCAGTATGATCGATGCAAGGGTTCGTCGGTGTTAACGTTCATCAAGCAGCTGTGAGTGGGTTCAGAATGTCACATTATTGCCACTCTGCGCGACGTCTAATCCCCGAGCTGAAAATGAAACGGTCATAGCGGTCGAGCAGCGCTATTAATCAAGTAGTGCTCATAGTGCATGCCGATCTCCCTGATGTCTAAGTTACGGTAAAGAAAGATAAGGGGTACATCGATATTATAGCAGCAAACCGTTGGAATTGATGTGCTAAAGTACTGCGCCATCAAATTCAGCCCCTCTGCCAGGCTCTCAAGAATTTGAAGACCCTTCTCTCCTTATTTACGACACCCTCCAGGACTTTGACCATCCATTCCGTGCTCACTGATTGCTTATATTCCTCCGTCTGGAACACCGCATCTGATTCCCACTCATGGACCGCTAAGAACTTTGGTGGCTCTGTCCTGTCCTTGCTACCCTCCTGTCCTGTCCTATCCCACGACTTCAGAACAAAACGCCTGCTCCTAATCCAGCCAGGACATTTGGCAAGCATCGGGATGTGTTCTTCGTGATACCACCGATGGAACTCCTCCTCCTTGTCTGCCGTCAATGACATTGAGTTGAACACGACAATGCCTGGCTTTTTCTGAGACGGAGTAGGTGCTGGAATGGGACTTGTGTACGCCTCGTACACGCGCCGATCAACGCATCCGACCTTCGATAAGATGTCTTTCTCTCGCTGGCTCCGAGTCTGAGCTAGAGAGGCGTAATCCGGCTTGTCTAGAGCATCTGGTGTCTCCAGGTCATAGGTGGCGGCGTATCTGGGTTTCTGGCCGTCGGCTTGTGCCCAGCGATCCCAAGACTTGAAGCTGGAGATCTCGACGCGCAGGGGAATGTGTTCGTTCTCGTACCAGTCGTTGAATTCGACTTCCGCGACGTTGTCGCCTGGATCGGCGAAGACAAGAAAGAAACCTTGTGAGGTGTTCGAGCTCATGCCGCGTAAGGGTTTGAAAACAATGGCGTGAGGTGTGTGGTATTGTAGAGCATCTCCATAAACCAGCGAATGGTTATAAGCCTGTATTTTCGGCCTGGGTAATATTCGGGCTTACCATTCATGCCGTGACGTACGACCGAACGACGGCAAAGAGCCGATCCGAAGCGTCCGAAAGCAATGCTATTCATGGGGGCAAAGCTAGGTACATGTAGCAAAAGAAGAAAGATAGGAAAGCAGGCAATGCACTTGTGAAAACACCGGTGTCCAGGAAAACAGCGGAAGCGGAATACCGAGATAGCACGAGACCACGTAGAGCGACGGAAGATCTTGCGGCATAGGCTTTAGACATCAGACCAGCCACCTTCGTCCAGTTTATACGACGCTTCACTTTCCGGTCTGTCAGGGCTGTCGACCAGTTTTGCGACGCGTTCCTCGGCGCGGCCTTTACGGCAAGAATATCGTTAGCATTGTCAGTACCGTTTGAGGCTTCGTCCGACACGCAGAGACAGGACAGGAGGGGGAGACAGATGCAGGATTAGTAGACAGTCTTTCGGGCGTACCTTTCCGGAGAAACATCCTTGTGGCAGATGCATGAGAGAGTATGTGGCCTCCGATCGGTTTGAGAGCCCCTCCAGCGACGAAAGTCATCGTGGCACCAGGATCCGCTATGGTCAAGCCTATCAAACAGACGTTCGTGGCTGGAGAGCGACAAAGCCATACACTGAACCTGGTTTGTCAAGAGAATCGCGATCTAAATAGATTTTAGAGTCAAGCGACGGTCGTGCAATGTAGACTAAAGGACAAACATTGAACTCCTCTGAGAGCTTGCTCAATTTGGATAGCATCTAGATCCTTCATTAAGCAATCTTCTTCAAACATCGTATCCATCATTGTTACCTGTGCCAACTGGGTAAGACATAAATTTGATTAGCATCATCGTTAGATGAACATGAACCTGCTGAATCATACCTTTTGCTGCCTTTCGCTCAGCTCTCCTCTTCCCGAATAATCCGTTCGGAATAAAGCCATGATACTATCAACAATCTGCGCGAGATCATAGTCATGTATGAGACGGGGAATACGAGTACTTACCATAAGCCGAAAATCCTGTATTCCATGATTAGCGCATTCGTGCCGGCTCTATCGGTCGGAATGATGGTGACAACCATCCACTTGCCTTCTCTTCCGCGAAGCGTTGGGAGCATTCATTAATTAGCTCCATCTGTGATGATATGTCCCTGATTTCGCGTTGAACATATATGATGCAATTACCTGATGCTCGCTATTCCATGCCCGAGCTGTTAATGTCGGAACAGGTGAATCTTCATGTTTCGACAAGGCGCGGTAGGGTGTTACAACTCTTACCGTACAGGATATTCTCGAGAGCCATATCACCATTAACTCCGAACCTATCTGCTATGGCCTTTATACGGTCCGGACGAAACGTGCCTAAGCCGTGAGCATGAATGGGAGCATGGAGAAGTAATCTTTTCAAGGGCGCTACCTTCTGTATCGATATATGCGACCTTCGTGACAAGTAGGTCAGAGGACAGGTCGAAGAGGCGCAACCTGATCTTACCTTCCCAGAAGCTCCCCCCATTTCAGGCGGGAGCTGGGCGACGACACTCATTGTATGCGCAAGCTGGGTTTTGCCTGTACGGAATTCGCCATAGACTGAACACGAGGTCAAGGAGGCTGACGGTCACCGATAAAGAGAGGGAGCACCTTCACTGATGGATTGCGACATGAGACCACCTGCAAGTTTGTTAGACAGTGCTGCCATCCGCATCGCTAGACTAACCTCCGAGAATTGCATCCACAGACTTACTGCCTGTGCTGATCACCAAAACCCTCTTACGCTTGTCTTGAACTTCTAAGCCGGTGGCAAAAGATGACCCCTGAAAAATTGAGGATATGTATGAGCCCTAGAAAAGGTGGAAATACTTGGTGGACTCACGAGTGCTTTGTGGGCAGCTTCCTGTTCAGACCAATTAATTGAATTCCCTGCGACGGGTGACTATATGCGCGCACCTTGATCTTCTCTACTTTGGCTTCTGACATACCCTGTCAGAGTGTCAAATGCGTTTGATTACAGATACAGTGGATTGTCTGACCTTGATTTTGAGTAACTGTCTTCTGGGCGTCATGTTCACGCCCGAGACGGTATTAATGGCGGCGGCCTTGGTTCGTTGTTTGTCACTCTAGGCATCAATATAATCGTGGACATCCCTGTACCTTCAGCTTCAATATGTCCTGCACATTGATGCCCTAGTCCAGGATTAGCTTCGGTAGCCCAGGATACGCTTTGGATGCGTGAATTCTTACATGTTGTTGTAGTTCGTCTACACTATCAAAGAATGGCGTCTGAAGGGAGCTGTTCAGTATATGCACGACATCTAGAACGAAAACGTCCCTACATCGTCTTCGTCCAGCGGCGGACTTGCGGGTCGCGACGCAGGAGGCACACTCTGTGAAGGGGCTCTACGAGGGGGCATTCTAAGCAGAATACGATCGACCGTTGAACAAAGTGAATAGGCACTATTTGTGCGTCGTGATACTCTGAAGGATGGCAAAGCGTTCGTAGAGTAACGTCACGTGATCGCGTCAACTCAGATCCATCACGTGACGTGGATAAGATAAGTCCAAGTTGAACCAATTTTGCAGTAGTACATAAAACAGATAACTCGACGGTACAATCAACAACAAGTTCACATTATTGCTCTCGCGTCGATTTCTGTAACGGGCCTGCTTATGGGACCATCCAAGGTCGGAGTTAGGTTTGTACAAAAAGAACTGCCCACGTTCAGAAATTGTCATGCCAGGACCGTGGATTGAACACGGGACCTCCAGAAATCATTGGCACTTCAGTCTGTTGCTCTCCCAGCTGAGCTATCCCGGCAACACTTGGTTATCTACGCAAGCTAATATTACCTTTGCGCTGTTCGATTCACTCCTCGCCGATAAGTCACCTACATGACATGGCTTGACGACCTTACCCTACTGAGCTCCCGTGGCGACCACTGACGGAGAGCCAAATAGAGTCTGATCCTCAAACTCCTCCGCTGTGCCCATGATTTCCTCCCCTTCACTCGGGATACCAGGGGTCCTGCTCTTCTTCCTACTCTTTCGCTGAGAGGTTTCTAATTCCGCGGGATTAGCTTGCTCAGGTTCGACAAGCGTCAGAGGACTAGGTGGTCGTATTTCAGGGGTGGGCCCCGTGAAATCCTTCCCCGTCAGACGGGACAGAGTTTGTATATCTAAGTAACAGTGGTCAGAATACCTGCAGGTGAATACCAGAAAGCATACCGTAGGGAATACGATGCATCAGACAATAGTTAATTCTCCCTGGATTCCTCCTGTCTTCCGACTTGAATTTGTTCTTGCAAGCTTTGCGGTCCCTACCAGGAAGAACCATCGATATCATCTCGTAGTTCTCACCGAATTGCGACACTGCCTGATTAGCGAGGTAGGGTCATGTCATGTCATGTCATGGATGCGAAAGTCAGGTGACATACATGGAAGAACACCTCTGTTTCTTCGGCACTCCAGCGAGAACCCTTGACTTTTTTGCTGTAGGTTGCCGAGTTGACGAACTTCGTGGTATCAGATTCCTCCACATGTGTGTAATTGGCAGTGTCGTCTTCTTCATTTCGGTCAACAAACAGCGATTCTTCATCCACGATCGTCTCTCCATTAGCACCTATTCTAACTTGAACGTTGAAACGGCTCGTCGTCAAGCTTTGAGAGTAGTCGAAACCGTCGGTCGTCACGTCGTTGGCGCTCGCCGCTGTCTCGTCACCGCCACCATCGCCTAAGAGTTCCTGGACAGGGGCCGTATCGAATGGGCCATTGGAGACCGTTGCCGTCGAAGGTTCGAGAGCTCGGCTTGCATCGGGATCTACTGGAGTGCTGCTGCTAGCGGGCTCTTCCCCTTCCGTGTGACGTCCGTACTTCTTGGCTTCCTGGATAGCCTTCATTCGGGCTCGTTTCTCCCTGTTGGAAGCTTTCCAAGATGCGAAGTTGCGCTGTATCTCTGCCGCCTTGCTGCTAACACGTCCTTGTCCAGTATCGTCGCACAGTGTGGCCATTGTTACAGTCGTGGGATCGATTTCTTCCCCTGGCGGAGCTTCAGGATCAAAGGGGGGCAAAGACGGGGCCCTTCTACGTCCCCTCTTACCTCCGCTGGCACTTCTGCTTCGTTTCCGGGACGCCGGGGCTTCAGGATCTTCGTCTTCGTCTTCATTATCTCGGGCTGCTCTTTTCCTCCTACGTTGTTTCTTCGTGGGCATCTCTGTGTCCTCATACGCATTTTCCGTGTCAGGAATAGTTGCATTCACTATCACGGGCTTTCGTCTGGACCGTTTAGGAGGAACGAGTTTTTGCACTCCCCCAGCAGAGGGTTCCTCCAATGCAGCTATCCGCGTATCTCCCGAGCCGCGTTTTCCACTTATCTTTCTTCGCGGACGTGGACATGGCCCCTTTTCGTTCATGGCATCATTGACAGTATTTGATGGTGCATCACCTGATACCAGTGCTGTATCGACCCCACCATGACCAGGGGATGTGACTTCGATGGATAGCGCTGGCGCAACTGTGACGTTCGCTGGGTCTGCAGATGTGCTACCAACTATTGTGTTTCCATGTTGGCTGAGAGGATATCCAAGCGTTCCAGTGGCAACACTAGTTGCCAACGAAAGAGCAGGCGGTCGAAGAGCACTAGCACTTGAAACTATGACAGGAATCGCACGAGACTGACCGGCAGTAAGAAGGATAGGTGCAGAGTCCTGAGACGGGGTCGAAATACTGGAAAAAGGAGTTTGATCGATACATGTGGGAGGACTAGGCAGCGAAGGACTCGTATGTTGCGTCGGAAGGGTAGCAGAGGTGGCGGAGAGGAAAACATGGACAGACGATGCGCCGTTTTCCGCGGCCGCGTGAGATGGTGTGGTAGGCATGTCGACGGGAGATCCGGACGATCCTGTCGTTACTGGCGCTTGTGATGCCTCTCCCGCGGGAAGCTGGATAACGGAAACCGAAGGCATCGCAGAAACTGCTTTGTGCTCTTCTACATTTCTCTCTGAAGAACTACCAGCGCTGGAAACAGCAGATGGCTGTTTAAAAGAGGCATTTTGTTCATTCGGCGGACGAGACTTAGGTCTAGTGATAGGTTTGAAGATAGTTCCGCCTTTCTCTGCAGGGGAAATGAGTTTGTCTATGCGGAGAATGCGTGGCTCGAGCACTTACGAACTCTGGAAAACATCGTAAGTCGAAGATGGAGAGTTCTCGCTGTATCTGGCGAGATCACTTGCATTACGTAACGGTGATTGTGCAGCAAACTGCGCCACAGCTCGTCCGCGAGCGCAGAATGACTCGCGTACTATTACCTACAGGTTCAGCAGCTAATTGGGAACTGAGCGCGGATGGGAAATCCTCAGAGCTGGAATCTATCGCGGGAAGGTGAGTGGGAGAACTATGGGAAGGAAACCTCAAACTCAACGTCGTTACCAGTTTCGTGGTCCTGCAGTCCCTCAGGCAATGTATAGTCCAGCCCTGCTGCCCTGAGTAATTGTCTAAAGTGTACCATCAGCTAGAGATCAGTGGCTATCATCAACGTTTCCGAAATTCTCGACCAAATCTCGTGGTTCCAAGCCACCCGAGGTAGTGCCTCCACCTCACTCCATCACCTTCCATGGGCGATGTGACCTAGAAATCGGACCTCATATATTTTGCGATACTGCCTTCTTTGAGGTGCGGTATCTCTCACAGCTTCCAGTGCAGCAGTATGGGCCCCCTCTGAATCCAGGTCCAAGCTCCGCTATCAGTTCTTCATCTACTCAAAGAGCATCCACGCCTCTTATTTCAGCATTGGCTTCGAATGTGGCTGTGACACCAACGCTAGTGTCACAAGTGAATACTGCAGCGCAAACGAATCCTACGCTCGCTCATCTAGTCTATCTGGCAGCATCCAATAGAGCAACACCAGAACAGCTTAAGACGCTGGGCTTGTTGATCCAGTCTATGGCCACTAGTCCGACCACCTCTAATGGTCTGATTCCAACGATATCACAACAGCCGTCCACCACCCCGGCTTATGATGCTGTCTCATCACCACACACGATTTTCTCTCAAGAGTTTGACCTGGTCATCGAGTTCAAGGAGACGCATCTTGAGAAAGCGATCTTCCCCCGCGTTCCTGTTGTCTGTAAGCAACTCGCAAGTAGGGGGGAATCAGTTCCAGGCTATCCTGATGTCTGTATTACCACCTGCATGCCCTTCCCTAACAGTGGCACGAAGGGACCTCCTCAACTTGTCGACCTCCTTCTCAGAAAGGTCAGTCGAAATATATGGGACCTCCTTTGCCGCTGGGCAGGTGACGAGGAGAAAATGCGCAACAGCCAGAGGATCCTTGATCAGACGGTATAAGGTCTTTGTTCTGGTAATTTGCCGTTCCTGACGTGCGCCAGTAGGTTCCCTCTGAACGAGATTTTCTAGGGCATAGAATGCCTGAAGGTGAATGGCTCAAGGAGCTAAGAGCAGTGCGTGCCACATTTATGCCCATGTCCCGAGGTCTGACATTTTCTCTGCAAAGGCTGCGATGCCTGAACCACCGATGAAGCCTCTAAAACCGTCGCACGCAGAAAACAACAAACAAAGGAAGAGGTCGACCGCGAAGAAGCCGCAATACAATCAGAGCACTATAGATCCACCTCGCAGTGGCATTACGAAGAACAGGGCGTCTGAGCTAAAGCCGCAACCACCGGTCGCTATGCCTCCGAAAATCCGAATAGCGTGTTTCGCCTGCGATCAGACCGATGTGCCGTTACTGATGGGCGGACGTACGTAGTAAAGATCTACGCTATCCGGGAATGTTGCTGACCGAATCAACCAGGATATTGTCGTCAATGCATCGACGCAGGTAGAGCACCCAGTGAAATTCCCGTTGTTCAAAGAAATTCTAGCTCCATATATCCGAATGATGCGATGACGCGGGTTAATGAGTCGCAACCACACCGCAAGCCTAAAACAACCCTACGTACATCCACTGTACCGGTCGCGTCATCGCCATTGGCAGTAAACCCTCCTCTGGTCCCTGAGAACGGCAGTCTGGATCAATAGCTCCCAGGGTATGACAGTGAATTAATGTAGGGATGTATATACATGGTTGCTTGAAGGTCATATCATAAGTTAGTCCAAAATAATGTTACCGTGGGATGCATATAAGTCCAAAATAATCTTATCGTGGGATGCATATATACCATCAAGACAAAACCTTCAAGGCCCAGCCAAACCACCATACGACGACCGCCATTTGACCACCGACTATGGCGAGTTCAATCAGCACCGCAATCCACTGGATAAAGAAACCAGTCCAAAATATCGGCAATACCAACCACCACAGACCTGCATGGCTGATAGCCGACAATCTCCACAACGATGAAATGAATATCGCAGCACGAGCTTGTAGGAAAGTGACGGCAACAGTCAGATTGAAGAACAGAAACAGACCCAGCCAATGCCGGAGAGATCGGTGGGGGAGCCGCTTAATCGGATAGCGTTTGGCTTCTCCTGTGAACTCGTTGCGATACCAGGGAATAATGAGGAAGTCCTGCACGTCCTCGCCGATAACCTTGCCATAGTTCCGCCAGAAAGGAGTGACGGTGTCCAACAGGAACGTCAGGGCATCCATGCCGAATTCCCACAGTTGTTGATAGTTATCCTTATAGCTTTCTTCAAGTCGGACGATGAGGGAGAGCTATCCGATATGTCAGCAGCTGTATGCTACTAAGCAAGCTTGAACGTACCTCGTCATAGACTACCGACGTGTGGGCCAACGTCTCGTTATATTCTCGCTTCGCTTCGAGATGAATTGGTTTGACATCGGCTAGCATATCGGCGATG